TTTTAAAGATATATATATATATATATATATATATATATATATATATATATGTTTCCTATTTTCTGAATTACAGCCATTGCTACTGTCATGCTTTTGAAAAGAAATATTATTTAAAAAAAAAAACCTAAAATATAAATTTGTATCCCTTAGTCTTCAAAGCCAGTTGCAGATTGAAGGTATGAATTTGTTTTTCCTTTTTTTAAAAAAACTTAAAAAGCTAGGTGTAGATTTCAGTTGTTATTATGGAAAATCATTGAGTAAATGAAATACTGTTTATAGCAAATCATTTTTTAAAGTAAATCATTGTGTAAAGAAAATCATTTACATGCAGATTTCTGTGATAATTGTTTTTTATGAAAACACTGTTTATGGCACAAATTAGAGCTCAAAACATAGTCTTTTACTGATGACAGAAATTCGAGCTCAAAACATAGTCTTTTACTGATGAATGAGAAGCAGGGAGTGTGACTAAGGACCAAGTAATCAATATTTCGAACTGTAAACTTACAGGAGCGAGCAAATGTATATACAGGAGTAGTTCCCCAAACCTAATCCTTCAGCTCTGCTTCTTGTTTCCCCAAGAAAATGACAAACCCTCTTCCTTTTCTCTCTCTATAAACCCTAATGGCAGGGTTTGTGAAGCTTCTTCGTTCTTCTCTATGTAAACCCTAAAGGCAGGGTTTGTGAAGCTTCTTCCTTTTTCTTCCTTCTTCTCTCTATAAACCCTAATGGCAGGGTTGTGAAGCTTCTTCGTTCTTCTATCTGTAAACCCTAATGGCAGGGTTTGTGAAGCTTTTCCCTTCTTCTCTCTTTAAACCCTTCTCTCTATAAACCCTAATGGGAGCCCAATCCTATTTTCTTCTCTTCCTTCTTCCTTCTTATCTCTCTAAACCGTAAACGCAGAGATGTAAAACCCAAATTTGTACGAGTCTCTCTTTAATTAGAGAAATTTATAAAACTTCAACTTTATAAAACGTTAACCACAGTTATAGAGTGACCATAGTCACCATACTACAGTTACATCATTGTAATGAGGAAACAAAAATCGTATTTTTTTTACCTAGTAAATGTGATGTTTGATAACAAATTTATATAAGTATATTTGCACGATTTTTTACCAAGTAAATGTGATGTATAATAACAAATTTATATAAGTATATTTGCCACCATACCATAGTTAAAATATTTAATGGATAAATTTATATAATAAGTTTGTTTTTAGTATATGATAAATAACTGTGATGTTTCTTAAATTATTTAATGGGTAGATTTATATGGTATATTTTTTTGGCTATATACTAGTTAATTATATATTTAATATTGGATGATTGGATAAAAGTTACGAGATATCTAAATTAATTGAATTAATTATATTAGCCTAATAAAGTTTTTATGAATGAATTAGTTATTGATGGCATTGACATAATTTTTATTTTTTAGAATTTCAAATTTTCTAATATTATAAACTTATCCGATTTTTTTACTCCGATTTTTTGAGCCTAATCCGATATATTAGTGATATTTTTATAGGAAGTATTTTTGCCGATCCGTATTTTTTACCCAATTTTTCATCCTATTTTTTTAAATAACAACGATTTGTTTCCGATTTTATGGTGAGCCGATTTATTGATAGTGCCCGACTTGCTAACTATGGTTTAGAGTGTGTGAGAGAGAGAGAGAGAAACAAAGCGGATATGGGAGAGGCAGAGAGAGAGAGAAGGGGACGTGAAAATATTTTTAGCTCATCACTTTAATTTATGGGAAATTATCGTAGATATATCTTAATTTAAGTTTAATTGGATAAAAACCCAAAACTTTCGTTTATATCTTCTACACCCTTTTTTTGTCTTTGATATTTTTTTACCCAAAATACGTTCATGGTAGTCATATTACCGTAATAGTTAGTGCATATTATACGGTATTTTAAGTACCGTAATATTTAAAAGTCCGCAATAGCAACATTTTATACGGTACTTTAAGTACGTAAACTTACACGGGCCGCTTTTAAGTACCATAAGTACTAACTCTTGTTATACAGCATTTAAATGCCCTAAGCCCTCTTTATATTATCTATCTCATTTCTAATTTATTTTATGTTGATCTATTCTTTCTCTCTCTATGTTATAAAGTATTTAAAATGCCGTAAACCATTTTCTCATTTTGTTTGTATTTATCTATTTCATCTCTAACTCTTTGTAGATTTAACATATCTTTCTCTTTCTAATTCTTTTTCATTTTTATCACTTCTTCCTCTCCCTCATTTTTTTTTTATCTCTTATTTCTCTCTCTACAATCTTACTCTACGAACCAATTTGGACATGGCCAAATATCCCAGTTAAGAAGAGAAAGATTTAGAGAGAAAAAGAATAGATAAATATTAAAAAGGATGAGAGAGAAATAAGAGATAAATATTAAAAATGATGAGAGATAAATAAGAGATAAACATAAAAAAAATAGAGATGAAAGAGATAAATGCAATAAAGATAAAAGGTTTTACCGCATTTTAAATGAGGTATAACATGGGTTAGTTTTGACGGTACTTAAATACCGTAATTAGTTTCGGTATCTACTATAAAATGATACCATTTTATAAATAGCTTTTATGGTACTTAAAATGTTGAGTTTTAATTTTTACGAGTACTTTAATTGGCTTCAGTATTTATATAAAATGATACCATTTTATAGATACCTATTAAAGTATTACTGTATTTTAATTACCGTAATACGCCTTCAACATATTACGGTATTTAAATTACTGTAATGTTCTTTACAGTAAAAAGACTATCATGAAGGTTATTTTGGTCCAAAAAAATCAAAAATTGTGAGAAAAGGTGTAGACAAGGTTTTGATAAATTGAGGGTTCTTTTTCTGATTATAGTAAAATATAAGTATATTAACAATAATTTCCCTTAATTTTTTTACCTTTAAAACTTATTTAATAATTGGAAAACTATAAAATGAGATTATTTACGATACAAGATCGTCACATTAATCTTGACCACTGGATGTGAAATTAAGTTGTTGCAATTATTCCATTGACCAAATTCAAACTTTAAAATAATTTTTTTTGAACTTTGTGACAGATTCACGCCATCAAATTTCACATCAAATGGTTGTAAGGAATTGTGACCACCTTGTATCATTTATTTATTAATTTATACATACAAGTTTTTTTTATTGATTTTATTCATCTATGAAAAAATTCAATTTTTCCTCAATGTGAAGTATTACAAAATTGAAAATTCACTTTGGTGATTATATAAATTTTTTGTTTACTTTTCGATATTTTATCGTGGCACTTCATATGAATAATATTTATTTATAATGTCATCATCAACTTTACGTATTCTAATATATATTTATCATTTATTTCTCAACAATATTTTTTATTATTTATCAATATATTCGAAATTCAATTATCAACAAAAATCAATTTCTAAACAAAAATCAATTTCTCCTCAATGTGAAGTATTAAAAAATTCAAAATTCACTTTGGCTATTTTCAAAGGTATTTCGATCATTTTATATTTTGAAAAATATTTTTTATATATGTTTTAATTGTGTATCCTATTTTTTAGTACACACTTCTAAAATTTCATTATGATCTGATTTCTTAACAAATATTAAAATTCATAAAGTGATATGGATTCTGAACTACATGATGAAGATCCAACGGCAGAGCTTTCATCTAAAAAGCTAACAATTGCTGAGCAGCTATAATGAATAGTAATATAGGTAGAAACCAAGCTGCAGATCTTCATCGAGTGGTAAAAAAAATATCACTATTTTAATTTTATTTTATTTTATATAAATCATATTAATATTAAAGTTTGGATATATATATCTAACACTCTTACGCACCATATAAAAATATAAAAAAATTATTTTCAATTATTTAAAATAACCAAATTACCCCAATCATTTTTTAAAGATATTTCTGTCATTTTATATTTTGATAAATATTTTTTACATATTTATTAATTGTTCACCTTATTTTTTAGTACACACTTCACAAATTTTATTATGATCTAATTTCTAAAAAAATATTAAAATTCATATAGTGATATACATTTTGAACCACATAATAAATATCTGACTGCTGGGAGTCTACCTATATTACTATTCAGTATAGTTGCCTAGCTGTTGTAAAGTTTACTCATATATATCTCAGGAAGCAGGTAGAGAGAGAAAATCCTAGTTGTGAATTTGGTAGAGAGAGGGAGAAGAGAGAGAGTTTATTAGGGTTTTTAGAGAGTTGAGTTTTTTTAGAGAGATGGGATATTGGGTTTTTAGAGAGTTTTTAGAGATAAAAAGAGAGATTGAGTTTTACATACACAAAGAGATATTGGGTTCTTAGATAGAGATATTTGGTTTGGGTTCTTAGATAGAGATATTTGGTTTTAGAGACAGAAAGCGGGTTTTAAAAAAAAAGGGATTTTCTTAGAGAAGGAAAAAGCATACTAAATGGATTGAGCTGGGCCTTATTTGGGCCCAAACGAGGCATTAACGAACTAATCATGGACAGCCTGGTCTGCCGGACAAATTCTAGGCTTATCAAGCATGGCCTGGCACTGCCCAATAATAGTTCATGTCCAAAATGGCCCTACCTGGCTTGGCCCGAAGCCCGCTGGAGGTCCGTTAGCCGGCCCTGCCCGAAAGCCCGCGGCCCAGCCCTAGGTGTGATTCATTTTTCTCCATTTTATGTTCTATTTCTTGTTGGGAGTTAGATAAAGATTAGATGTTCCGGATTTCCGTGTTTACTTGAGGAACCCAATTACAGAAATGAGAATGACAGGTTTTGCAGGTACGAGCAAGGGTGTGCTTCTTTACAGTGAAGCAAATAAGAGGGGGAGGGTTCATCATTAGGTGATTAGTGAGAAATGGTGGGGGAGAAATGAATGTGTTTTTGGCTTTTCCTGATCATGAGAAATGGTGGGGGAGAAATGAACGTGTTTTTGGCTTTCCCTGATCATGAGAAATGGTTAAAGGTTATTCAAATTTTTTATGGATTAGCAAGTGGGTTGTTAAGGACCTCAAAACTGATTTCCGTTCCTCATGTCTTGAAGTCTTTATTTGGGACTGAATATTTCTTCCATTCCAAATATCATTGTTTTCAAATTCCAAGTGCCAACCAAACAACATTGATTTCAAAATCCATACAAATGTAAATAGCATGGTGATTCACGAGCAACTTTGGTTTACCCTTTGGCTTTTTCTTATGTTTGCAAGTATTTATCAGGGTTTATATTCATTGCCTGAAGTCTTTATTCATTTTTTAGAATGGATTTAAACCAATGGTTTTGAAAAACGGATCAGTGTCCTGGATCGGGCACTCTAAATATCCATTCCGATTGGTGAATCGGTGATCCGGATCGGGAATCAGCCGACTCGGTCGGATTAAGTTTTAAAAAAAAATTCATTTTGAATGTATTAAAATTCATTATGAATGTTGTCTTTTAGGAATCCAATAAGAAATGAAGGTATTACATTGTTAACTTTTATTTTTTTTCATCAATTTGTAAATATTGACTTGTTATTTCCTCGTATAAACTTATGTTAACCATTAAATTTACATCACAAAAGAAAAATCTTAAAATTATTATGGATAAAGTATATAATCATACATTGACTACAATAAAAAGTAAACTAAATTGATGAAAAAATAGCCACTAAAATCTCAAATTGGCGGGAAACCCTAATCCACTAAAAAAACCCAAATTATTACAACCTAACTGTAATCCAAAATTATTACAACCTAACTAACTATTTGGTACTGAAATTAAAATTGTTGGTTTATATTTATAATTATTTTATTATACAAAAATAATAAATCCAAAATATTTTATAATATAATCTAATTTAAAATGTATTATTGATAACTATAAGAAAAATAATACATTACGTGATTTATAATGCAAAAATT